TCAACTTATCACACTCTGTGAAACACTTACTTGGTGTAAAATAACAATTTACAGCTGTCAAAAAGGAATCATCCGGGGAGACTTAGAGTCATTTATTATTTTGAGTTGTTGATCTGACAATGTCACTTGCCACAAAGATATCAACATATTGTCTATGGACATGGCAGTGCAGTGTAATTTAAAGAATCCATGTATACTTTGATGTCATAGCACCCCTTCTTTCAAAACGCAATCTCAGAAACTGAGTGATTTGTCAGACAAAACAAAATATTTTGTATTACTAATGTTTGGTACTGCTGAGTGAAAGAATATTTGCGAAGTGTGTGTTTGTGAATTGTAAGCATAGCCGCCTCTTTCTGGGTAAATGGTCAGTGTTACACTCATCACAATACAGTTCCAGTTTAGGCTGAGATGTGAAAAGTACTTAAGTGGACGTCAGTGTCAGACATTCAGTTAACACCTCTGACCTGGAGTAATAATTGCAGCATCATCGCCCTTACATGACGCTCACTGCCCTGACTGACTTTCAGTCAATAACTGTCTTCATTCAGTGGACGATAGCTGGGTGATGTGCTCCTCCTAAATTTGACGACAGAAAAGCCCTGTGTGTAGCACAGGGCCTCTGTAAAGTCTCCCAGCGTGTGCACCCCACCCTGCACCATTCTTTTAGATCGCTATTTTCAAGCTCTCAGCGCACACTAGTTCCAGGCAGGTAATTACTGTCACAATCACTGACACAAAGTCTTAGAACAACTGTGTGTTGAATTAGTACAAGGCGGTGGAGCTAATGTTGGAGTGTGTATGTGAATAAATACTGTCGCTGTCTGTGGAGAGAGAGAGAGTGAGAGAGAGAGAGAGAGAGTTTGTAAAGAAAGATGAAGACACATGAGGTAAAAAGCAAGTGGGAAAGTGCAGAGCATTTGTCTGGTTTGTGTCACAGAACTTTGCGTGTGTGTGTTCAGCTGTCTGCCTTGGAACAGAAGGGTAGTAAAGCAGAAGTTTCCTCTCCCTGATTAACCTTGTTTAATTGCAGCACATCCAATTGAGTCGTTAAGAAGACGCCAGGTGAAGGTTTAAAACTCATCAGAGTATCTCACGCCGTAAAAAAGCCGATCTTTAACCCAGAGACGACAGTAGTGAATATCAGGCATATAACTGCACGACCAATGGTCTGGGCTGCACAGAGACCCAGGGAACTAATTACTGTACTGTACTGTTTTCTACACAATACTTCATTTTATCTCAAGAAAACCTGAAAAACTATCTGCCCCGCTTCACTGATCCCTGTCATCTATAGATGTGGTCGACATAATTAACTTAACTCCTTCAACAGCAGGTCTGATCATGTCTTGGGATAGAGGAAGACTTCCAAAGAAATAATCAGAGCAGTTATGAGACTGACTGAGGAATCAATCATCATTGACAGTAGAGCTGCAGGGTGCAGAGGGGCTCACACACACTGGCAGCAGACGGGCACTGCTGGTACAAATGTCTCCAAAGCCCACTTAATGGTGAGGCAGATTTATTTGAGGGAACACTGAGCAGATGCAGTTTGCTAGTGTTATGACTGCGACCGAGGCAGGGGGTCCTCGACTTACACCTGAGTAAGTCATAACTCACATAAGTGCCTATGTCACTCACCTACGCTAACACAGTGGTATCATGATAACTATAAGAGTCTGATTTACGCCTGGGAGACAAAATTAAGGGCAAAACTTTCCTAAAAAACAACTCAAACAAAAGAGAGCAAATGTTACACAATCCAATGCACAACCGTACAACCAGTGATTGTAAACAAACCGTGTTTGGGTGACAACGTATTTGTCCGCTGCTCTGGCTAACTAGTCCCCGTGCCAAATGTATTTCTAACGCCGTACGTCACAATGATGGAACAAGACTCTCTTAATAAATTCATGGGAGACGGCGATGTAAAAAAAACGCTGTAGGTTAAAGACGTCTTAAACTGAGTATTCCTTTATTTAATGTTTAACCAGACGTACCACAGTCTGAGGGCACAGGTCATAGAAGTGGAAGATCAGCAATATGGAGGAGAGAATGTTTGAGTGGGCCATAGACTTCTCTGATATTTTATTTACTTTACCCAAAAAAAATCAATCAACTTCCCTCTACACCTCTACAATGTATTGTTCGTACTGTATATAAAAGAGCAAGAAAAAGACCACCACTTTATTATTGCCTGTTCATTGTATAGGGAAAAAATGGAACACTGAACACAGAGCTGCCCCAGGGATCACAATGATGAAAGCTACAAACAAACATAGCATTTTCTGAAGCCACCCCTTGGTAGAGCTACATGTGTGGTTGAATATACTCTACCTGCTTGTAATGTTTGTTTGCCAGCGGTAAAGACGGTTCAAAGGGAGCACTGAGTGACATCAGAGCACAGGAAAGATTGGTGAGTGTTGATAGAAGATAGCAGACTTTATGTTTGGTCACCCAGCTAACAGTTCCAACCATCCAACATTTGCATTTGTATTGTTTGATTTAATTTGGATTTCATTCAGGAACTTTAAATCGAGTTAATATTTTGTCACTAGTTACAATAATTCAAATCCAGCTTTTAATTATTTAGATCCCAGTATTTAATTTTTGCACCAAATCTTAGCAACAACGTGTGCTACTTCAACACTTTGTCAACATCTCTGTTTCCTTTGTTCAAAGCTTGTTGATGCATTCAAATAAAGAATCCCACATTACTCAGATTAGCTGTTCCATGTGTTTCCTGTCAGAAGGAGACTAATGAGTGTCCTTCTACCTCACTTCTTTGAAACAGTCAGCTGAAGGCATCAGCCTTGTGTTGGGAATATTAAATGAGACTTTGTAATTAATTGCATCCACTGCTTTAAACAAGGCTGTGACAAAGCAGGCAGTTAAGAGGATGCAGGCATCTATGTCAGAGAGGGCAGGAAAACTGTGCATAGTTCGGCTACCGGACCTTAATTATGACTGTGTATTTAAAGAAGGCAGAAGCTTCATCTGTTCTGCCAAACTTTCCCCGTCACAGTGGATGTTCTGCCCTGTTAACCCGCCTAATGAGCGAGATTCCTCTCCTAATCACCATCTGTAATGGACTGTCCAAAACGATCGACAAACGGGGTTTCACCAACAGCGGTCCTGGCCAAGTTGGGCATTTTTAGGCTCAATTAATTTCTCAAAATGTGAGGTTTGACTGAAATGTGGTGCTGGTGGAGAAGGAGCCTTAGAGTGGAGGGTGAAAAAAGCAGAAGGAAAGAGAGAGGGAGAGAGATGGAAGCACGGAGAGAGGAAGGCTGGGAAATTACAGGAATGTAATGACTGGTGTAATGTCTCCGTCACTGTGAGCCTGAGGGACTGTTTGATAAAGAGCCACAGAAGTGATAATGGCTGTAGATTTGTCTAATGATTTTCTGTCTTCAGCTACGTGACATAAGAGGATTCCCACCAGCGGAACTGGGCTGTGTGAGTGTGCACATGTTAAACGGCTGCTCCCGAGTAATGACAAACTAATCACATAAGTGATACATGACCTAATCTGTCAACAAATCATTTTGACACAAATCTCATCATCCTATGTGTTGACTGGCTCAAGAACCGATTACAAAAGCATCCAGTGCAGTTGTAGCCTCGGTTACCATGGTGTGTATCTGTGGTTTCTATGGAAACTCTGTCTGCTGTGACTTTATTGTTGTTTTGTGATGACTCTAAAGCAGTTACTTAGAGGTCTGCACTGATTTAGGCACAACATAAGAAGTCTCTCCATCCATCCCCTCACATAGAAACCCACTCTATCCTCCACATCCCACTTCCATCTTTCATCAGCCCACTTCTTAAAGTTTCATCTCGTTCACTTTTGACTTCTCGCATCACCTTCTCACCCTCGGTCACTTCCACCCCCCCATCCGTCTGCCTCCGGGTATTTCTAAATTCCCCCTTCTCTTCCCCTTACCTGTCCTCATCTCTCACATTCTCACCCACATCGTCATCCATCTTTTTCTCCGCATGCTGTTTCTCTCTCTCCTTTTTCCTCTCCGTGTGTCTCATCTGCTTTCCTCGCGCTTTTTCACCTATTGTGAAAGTTGTGCCAGAAATAGCAGTGGGGTTGCTCTCAGTGGTGGCACTGGGCTGTCGAGGAGCATTCGAATGCACACACAGTGCACTTATGAGTCTGGCTCAAACTGGGACAAAGTACTGCGTGTACATGTTACGTATACAACCTCAATGAACATATACCATCAGCTTTCCCTGGGGTTTCTAATGTTTAGACGAGTGTACTGAAGGGATCCACCTGCTGATGTAGGTGGTGCTGCTCTTCCTCTCCCCCTCTCCCCTCTCTCTCTGACCCACCTATAGTATTCTCAGCACACACCTGTTGCGAAAGTAGGCTGTGACATCTTTTCAGGAGAACCCGTGTCAGCGATTCTCCTCCAACAATGTATCAAAATATCATTAAAAGTCAAGGTGTGCTGTTGGATCTGCTGCATGTTGTAGTAGGAGGTGGTGTGCTGTTCTAGTGTAATTCAAAGCCCACTGTGGGTTCATTCACAGACACTGAAGGATTTTGTTGCGCTACATTCACTTATTTGATGAAACTCAAAGTGGAAGTGGATCAGAACTCATTCAACTGGAGTTGATGGCCGTGTCAGTCAGGAGTGCCCAGAGCTTTAGCCAGAATTTTCAGTCTCTAAAACTGAAATACATAATTTCACCTTTGGAATTCTGCTTTAATTCCCAGTGCAGTTTTTAAAACAATTCCCAGCTGAATACAAGTCGTTGGACCAGTAATTAATCAAAGCAGAGCAGAGCACTGTAACAGCAGTCGGACTGATATGTATATATATAACTATATATACATATAACTATATATATATATATGTGTGTGTGTGTATACATATATCTATATATATATATATGTGTGTGTGTGTGTATACACATATCTATATATATATATATATATACAGAGAAAAAGGGAGAGAGAAAAATAAAATAAAAACATCACTCACCAAAGAATCGATGAGAACCTCGTACTTGTTTCTCTGCAAGTTATGTTTACGACGGCAGCCTCTCCCAAGTGTCCTTAGCATCTTAGACATCTGAAATGCAAATAACTTTGTAAAAAATCCAAAGTTTAACTAAACTTTATAATAATTAATCATATTCCCTCTCACAAACATTGGAGAAGTGCTGGACAGGGATCAGTTCTCTGACCTTTTAACAAGTCTGTCAGCGTGAAAGACTTGTCTGATTTATGCTTTAGTTTTCATCTAGCAAAAACTAAGTAGGGGACTGTGGAGCACTGCAGTTTTAATGGCACAAACATCGCTCTGAATCATCTTTACAATCTATAAAAGGACAGCTTGGGTAATTACAGCTGACCTCAGCCATAAATGGCGTTTAAATGTAATGTGAGACCCTTGATTTTGACTTTGTGTCATTTTATTTTTTCTCATTCAAACAAATGTTTGTTGCAAATTTATTATGGTTTTGACATTTTATACAAACCTTTTAGGAGGCATCGTAGGGCGTGAAATATGGCAAAAAACTTTTGCACATCTAGTTAACCCATACGTACAGATTATTTCTTGCAATACCTTGTATGTATGTGTTACAAAATGTATTTTAACACATTTCTTTTCTATTTTTTTACAGTTTTTTTCTTATGCTTGAAAATGCTTGTTTGATCACGAAAATAATGAAAATGCATGAAGCAAAAAATCTGCAATGCAAGACCACATTTAAAAAATTAAAAACCTGCGATGTTCAGTGACACCCAAACCGCGATAGAACAAGGGACGACCAGCACACGACTTAACATTACAATTCCGTAGTAGTGAGTGATGAAAGGCCTCTGTGGACCTTGAAAAACTAAACCTTGTTTTAATTTCAATTAATGTGCTGACCTCTTTCACAGGCCAAACTCACTCTCTACACTTAGCTAAACTACTTTTAGTTTTGCTCAACAAAAGAATAATCCATGTCTTTTATGTGCTAACAGCCTATCAGTGGAGATAATTATAACAACAGTTAGTGCTAACGCTTCTTTATTTCTCTCTGCCTTTGTTTCTCGTGCAAACAATTTGCAGGGTGCCATTGGGTCGCTCATCAGTGAAATGCTCTGTTGAGAGGTGGAAATAACTTCCTTACTGTGGGCTTTGGATAATTATGGATGTGTTTGAAAGTAGCTTTTAAAAATGCTTTACAAGCTTTTTTTAGTTTTTTTTTAACGTCAATTACGCACACCCATCCAAAGACTTTTATTGCATAAGAAGGACATTCGCACTGGCCCGCCCTCTATCTTCTCTATCTTCCCGCTTTTCACTTTTGCCCTCCCCCTCATTTCCTTTGTCTCCGTCCTCCCTCATCTCTCCCTTCCCTGTGTCCCTGTGGGGTTTCTCCAGTAGCTGTCATGCAGCATTGTGAGCATGAAGGGGGGATGATCTATGGGCTTCTACACCGCAGCAATTAGCCGAAGGAAATATAGAATGGAGAGTTAGATACTGTGGAGAAGTGGGAGATGATGATGAGACTGAGGCAGGGAGGAACAAGCTTAGATTGTTTTAATTGATTTGATTTTTTTTTTCAGATGCAGAAGAAGCAGAGAATGGAGATGGGTGTGATAATTCAAGGTTTTACTTTTCAGATTTTAAAGGTGTGGAAAAGAGACAGGAGACAGATGATGCTCTCGTACCGGTGACTGGAAAGAGTATGGATAAATAGGGAAAAGATAGATAGTCTGGTGGAATTCCAAGGGCAGGGAGAAGATGAAGAATAATTAGGTGGAGAGATCCAAAACTGTAGGAGGGACACAAAAAGAGCAGCTGGGGAGGGAATGATGGAGGGAGCCAAGGTTGAAGGAGAGGAAGGATGGAGCAAAGGGCAGTGCGAGTGAATGAGGGACAGGAAAAGGAGATATCGAAGCAGTGGGAAGAAATTGAACAAAGTGGGGGTGGGATGGAGGTGTGATGCTGGTGTTTTTCATGAAAGAGGGAGAGGAAGGAGGCAGGAAAAGTAGGGCAGGAGGAGGGAGGTGCTTGCACAAAGGTAGCAATGCGGGAAAAATTAGAGAATTTGGTTAAAAAGGACAGGAGCGCAACAGACAGAATAAAGGTCACGCAAATGTGATTATGTCATTCTAAAACAAGTGTCAGCCAATTACAGTTCAACGCTGTTGGCCAAAACTGGATTTGAAAGTGACCTGTATTTATAATAAAGGGAACAAACAGAGGCTGCCCTTTTTACTGAGATGA